GCTCCTGTGCGCAGGAGCTGGGTTCAGTCAACAGGGAGTCCAGCAAGAGATCAGAGGGAGGGAGGAGACAGAAGTGGCCTTGTTTGGCTGCTCCATTCAAGGCCCCTGCTCTGCACAATTCTCCCTCTTTTTGTGTTGCAGTCACAGCCCATTGGGTCCTGGAATGGATGGTAACATCTGGCCCAAGTTCCTGAATCAGCATGTCATCCCTTGGCTTCCCTTGTGTGCCACCCATACGCTTTGGAATGAGTTCCTTGTCAGTAGCACCCTTCAAGTGATCCCACTCTCTCCTGAGCTGTCGAATAAGGAGGGGCTGTGCCATTTTAGAAGGTCCTCCAGCCATGACAAGGGGCTGAGGTCTATTGTGAGAGGGTCAGAGTGGAACCCAGTGCCTGGGTTTGCTCCTGGGGTCAGGGATCTAGGATAGAAACCATCTCCTTGGGACTTCTTGGCCCCGGGGCAAGCCTTGCTGCCATATCTTGAGGGCTGTGTGTCCTGGCATTCCTGGGGGCCCTCTGTGACTCTCAAGTGAACCTGGGGCCAAGAAGCAGCAACAAAACGAGGGAAAACAGGGTCTCAGGCAGGGGGTCTCACTGGCCCTGGCTTCTCAAAGTTTCTCAGTGGGTCAGTCAAGATTCTTGGTTAGCAAATGACAGAAACTCAACCCAAACAAGCTTAAGCAAAGTAAAATGAAAGCCCAAGTTGGATGAGGGGATTTGAGGGGATTTGCTGGTTTGCTCACTACAAGTTCAGGCTGCTGCGTGCTGTGGACCAGATGAATTCAGAGTTTCTCTTTCTTCCTTATCTCTCTCTCTCTCTCTCTCTCTCTCTCTCTCTCTCTCTCTCTCTCTCTCTCTCTCTCCCTCTCTCTCTCTCTCTTTGGTGTGGCTTCAGCCTCATTCTTTCCCAACTGAAAGGGAAGGTGCACCCCACATAGCTCCAACAAAAGTCCCAGATTTCACCTCCTTAGGCCTGGTAGATCCACAGCCCATCTCAGAACCATCATCTCACCAGGGCTTTGCATCTGCTTTACATCCAGATCTGGGTCACACAGCCACTGTGGAGCTAGGAGATGAGTCCCATCCACTGAACTCCATAGACCTGGAGTTGTGGTAAGGGTAAGATGGTTCCCCAAAAGAAAAACCAAAGGGCAGATTCTGAAAGCAGGTCAGGGCCTTGGGAAGACAGACAGCACATGGGCACCTCCTCCCCCAAGCCCTGTCTTTTTGTCCTTAGGTCTTTTATTGCCATTTTGAGGGAGAATCTCAAAACTCCATTTTGTCTCTCTCTCTCCTGTTCTCTCTGAGTCCTTCCCAACTTATCTCTAGGAAGAGTGAGTCCTGCAGGCTTACATCCTGTAACCAGAATTGTGAGTGCCTCCTCCAACAGAAGCAATCATCTCATGATAAGACACAAATTGTCCCCTCAAGCAACAATGTTCTCCTGGAGCCAGCAGGACCACACAGAGCCACCATCCTGAGATAATCATCCACTAGATCATGGTTGACCAAGACTGTCTATGCCCTGCTTCTTGCCCTCCCACTTTTGTCCTTTCCTCACTGTGTAATCCTGAAGCTCTTGTCCGTACCCCAAAGACAGGGCTTAGGATGCTGGTCTCCTCGTGACTTCCCAGTGTGATTACAGTGCATAAGAAATTCCCTCCTGCTTCGATACCCCTCATCTTTCTCTGATTGGACTACTGAGGTGCCAAGCGGCTGAATCTGTCCTGATGCCTCAAAACAAGGACCTGGTAATGACTTCTGTCTCTTTAGCAATATGAACTCTCTGGTAGCATTGTTGAGCCCTGGCACCCAGAATAGCCTTCAATGAAGAACTTCCAAATGAAGGGCTGAAGATGAGGCTCAAGTGGTAGGCCCTCGTAAGTGTGAGGCCCTGAGTTCAAGCCCCAGTACCACCCGCCCCTGCCAAAAAAAAAAATTTTTTTTGAATGAATGAACAGAATTCGTGCCATTTCCTGATGCCTTTCAACTGTAACCTGGAAACTCTTCCTAGGGTTGCAACAATGAAGTATTGCAAACCAGGTAGCTTCAAACAACTGAAATTCCTCCTCTCAGGTCTGGAGAGGAGAAGTTCAAACTCCACGTCTGCAGAGTCCAGCTCTGCTTTCTGGCCTCCTCCGGCTATGGGTGGGTTGTCTGGCAGTAGCATTGCTCCAATGTCTGTCCCTGTGGTCACATGCACTTCTCCCTAGGTGTCTTTGTACAAATTTTCATCTTCGCACAACAACGTCCGTTATTAGGGAAGGATCGACTCTCATCGAAAACGATCCCATCCTAACTTGATTATATGTGACAACTCATTTCCTGTTGAGGACACATGGTTGGAGTTAGGACTTGAGCATAGGTCTAGCCACTACATATGTGTATATATATATTTGGATTGGTTAAAAGATGCTGTGATAACAAACACATCCCCCAGTCTCAGAGGTTTATGAGGTCAGTGTTGCTTGGGCTGGATCAGGTTGCTTTGATTTTGTGGCTTGGACATATCAACTCTGGGCTGCCAGGGTTACCAGGCAGGGGAAGAGAGCTTCAAAGCAGTGCACCGGGGTCTAGAGTGGATCTCATAAGCTCATGACCACCAGATCCTGTCCTTGCTCGCCTTGTCTGTTGAGTCTTTGTCACTTCTGGTCACTGCTACTGCTCTGCGGAACACAGAAGCCCCTCTCAGGGAGTGTTGTTAGTAGCTGTTGCATCTTTCTTTTTTTGCAGGGGTGGGGGGTGGTACTGGGGTTTGAACTCAGGGTCTTGCACTTACTAGACAGGCATTCTATCACTTAAGCCAAGCCCCCAGCCCTTTTCTGCTTTAGTTGTTTTTTGGGGAGAGGTCTTTTTTTTTTTTTTTGGTGCTGGGATCGAACCTAGAGCCTCGTGCATGCTAGGCAAGCGCTGTACCACCGAGCTACATCCCAGCCCACTTGTTTTTTGGATAGGATCTCATGTTTTTGTCTGGGCTAATCTTGAACTTCAATCCTCCCTATCTCTACCTATTGAATAGTTGGGATTATAGGCATGAGCCACTGCACCAGGTCTGTTTCCATCTCTAAATGAGCACCACACACCTTCACAGGATACCAATACCCTTAGAATGCCCAAACTACTCATCTGCCAGAGAAGCCACCAAGCTGTGTAGTTTAAGGCTTTATGTCTTACAAAGACTTTTTGGAAAAAGGTTAAAACTCAACCCGGGCAAGTGAAAATGAGCAAAAGTGAGTCACATGCAAGGCACTACAGAACAGTAAGGACTGTGTCAAAGCAAAGTCCACAGCTCGTCAGAAGGGGACAACCCCATATGGTATCCATCTCAGAACCATCATTGGTATCCAGTGTGGCCAGATTTGAGAGATTTTTTTCTTTTTTTGAAGAAAACCAGAAAGTCTGATTTTTACATAAAGTTTCCTGAATTTCAAAATGCTATTCAGGCTGGATTCAGCCCGCAGACCACGAGCTTGCAATGCCTGCTTTAGTGAGACAACTTTTTCCATTTTCATTCTCTGCTCTCTGCTCTCCAACTTGGCTCTCTGGCTGTCCACAAGACGTGGCCATGAGCCAAATGGGGCTGGGCTAGGAGGCAGTCCCCCTCCCCAGCTGACTTCAGATTCCTTCGCCCTCCTGGACAGACAAAACTGCTCTCTGGGATGGCCCAGCTCCCTCCTGCGGGCCAGATCTCTCTCAAGAGGCTTCTTCCAGACTCATTCTGGCCAGCCTGCCAGGCAAGTCCATACTTGTCCTAAGCCCAGTGAGACCCAAGCTGCAGAGTCTTTCCAGCCCTCGATGGAGAGCGTGCTCTTCACCATGGCCTTCAGGACCCTTCCAGAGCAGAAGGCTGCTGACCCTCCCAGCCCATGGCCTTACTCTTCAAATTGGTCTCTGTTGCCAGGCACTTGTGGCTCATGCCTGTAATCCTAGCTACTCAGGACATAGAGATCAGGAGGATCTGGTTTGAAGCCAGCCTGGGAAAATAGTTCTGTTAGACCTTATCTCAAAAAATACTTCACAAAAAAAGGGCTGGTGGAGGGGCTCAAAGTGTAGGCCCTGAGTTCAAGTCCCTGTACCTCAAAAAACAAAAAAAAATCGTCCCTGCTGACCCCAGGCCAACTCCTCCTTTCCCAGGCTGGTTGCTGCTGACCCTTGCATCTTTTCGAATCGAGGGAACTTCTTTCCCCAGTGCATCTTGCTGGAAACATCTCCCCCCAACCTCCCAGCTCCTCAGGTTTCAGCCCAGAGATCACTTCTTCTAAGAAGCCTTCCCTGAGTGTCTTTATCAAGTTAGGGGCTGAGATCAGGTCTCCCAAACCTGCTGGAGTCCCCTGCACAGTTATCACTTACTGATCTTTACTGAGAGAGGGAGGGGACATTCCCTCTAGGACCAGGACCCTAAGTGCCCTGTTTCTCGTGGTATGTCCTGCATTCAACGCTGTAACTGTAGTTTTGCAAATCTTGCAAATGCTTACTTATTTTGAGAAGGGTGGAAGGAAGAAAGCTGGGATTCTTTGTTGCATCTCTTTCCCTTTCCCTGTCTGCGCTTCCCAACCCTCTCTGTCTCCAAAGCTTCAGACCATCATGTTCCTATCACCCCTTCCCATCCCAGTCCCCTACCCCCTGGGAGTGCAGGGACTCCTGACCCCAGGCGTCCCTCCAAGTACTGCTGCCTTCCAACCTCCTGACATTCAGGGCTTGGAGAGATCCCGCCAGATGTTTACCAACAGGGGGTCCCCAGCTGTGCGCAGAGTAGGGGGGGAACAGAGAAGTGGGGTGGAGAGGTCACGCTGGTGGTGAACGCCCAGGCCTGGGGTTTCCTGAGGCGGGGGAAAGAGGTGGACAAAGAAAACCAAGGAAAAAGAGCTGGAGGGTGGGTGGGGGTGGGGAGGAGAGGGGCGGGCCCGCGTGCGCCCCCTCCCCCCACCCCGCCCCACACTGCCAGCGCCCTCCCAGCCCAGCCGGCCACATCTGGCGGCCGCCCTCCCTTGTTTCCGCTGCATGCAGACTTCCTCCGGGGGTGGCTGGAGGCTGTGCATCTGGGGCTTTAAATATACAAAGAGGGGTTGCCAGGACCTGCGGGAACAGGCGGCGGCGGCGGTGGCAGCGCGGGCTGGGACGCTGAGCTGACCATGAGCTGCTGAGCCGCGCCAAATCCAGGCAACCCAGCCAGCGGACCCTCGGAACGCGGCGCCGAGCTGCGGGGCAGGCGCCAGCAAGGCGGCGAGGCGGCCATTCGCGCGGAGCCAGCGACCCCCGGGCGACGCGCCGGGCCCGGGAGCGCAACGATGGAGGCGCGAGTGACCTGGGGAGCGCTCGCCGGCCCGCTGCGGGCTCTCTGCGTCCTGGGTTGCCTGTTGGGCCGCGCCGCCGCCGCGCCGGCGCCCATCATCAAGTTTCCCGGCGATGTCACCCCCAAAACGGACAAAGAGTGGGCGGTGGTGAGTTGCTGCGCTGGTCTCTACCAACCAAGTTTAGACAGACTTTGGAAGCAGAGTATGGGGGCCACTTTCCCCCTGTCCCCATAGTGGGCACACAGCGTGGGGGGGGGTCTTTGACAAGAAGATGGAGGGGATTTCTTTTGTAAGCAGTGGGGGGAGCGTCGGTAAGTGGAGAAGGCCTTGGATAAACAACTTGGCAAAACTTAAGCACACATCAAGGGGACTAGGAACTAGCGGGCGGGGGTACTTTGGCAAACGTCTGCAAAGGGCGCTTTTTGTAAACAACGGGCACTTTGTCTTGGATCTAGGGGATTTGGTAAGGAGGTGGGCTTTATAAACGTCTTTTGGACATCTGGAAAGCTGGCAGCAGAGCCTGGGTAGGCCTTTGGCAAGCAGTTTAAGGGGGCGCTTGAAAGTGGGAACTTTGGGAAGGGCGTACTTTGACACTCAATTTGAATAAGCTTTTGCGCCTGTGAGGATGGCCAAAGCAGGACTTGGCAAACTTCTGAGAACCTTTGGCACACATCTGGAGAGGGGCCTTAGGTAAGCAGCTGGAGGGGACGGTTTGGCAAATAATTGGGGCAGGAGGAGGGAAGCCGAAGGCGCATCTTTCCTGCCATTGCTTAATGCACAAGCTGGCCAGGAGGTATAGGGTTGAGTCTTAAGAAAGTTTCCTCGAACTTGTCCTAAGGGGTCAGAGGACAGGAGAGAACTAGCCAGGCAGGCAGGCGGGCGGAGGGAGGGGCAGGCGCAGAAGGGCTCTGGCGCGTGGGGCGGGGGCGGACTGAGCCGAGTTGGGGTCGGACAGCGGCCAGCGAGCCCTCCCTCCTGGCTGGGCTCCCGAGCTGTGGCTCAGATGTTGTTTCGTGAGGGCGCGCGCGCCTGGCTCTCTGGGACCACCGGAGCGCAGCGTTGCATAAGCAAGCAGAGTTGGGAGCAGCTGAGTTACCCATCACCCTGTAGGCACCTCTTGCTTGGACCACTCAAGATGTTTTGTTACATCATAGGACATCTGCCCCTATTGCTTCAGTCACTCTAGAAATCCCCTTTGCAGCCTTCTAACCAACCTGTCCAGAACAGGAATTCCATGACCCCTTCCTCCATCCTGGGAGCCTCTTCAGCATGTACCACCAGTCCTCTCTACCCCCCACCCCTGCCATTTTACAGCCTCTGTCCCTTCCTAGTAGATGAGTTGGGAGAGCTCCTCAGATTTTTAAGGGGCTACTTTTTGCAAGAGTCTGGAGATGACTGGCATAACGATGTGTCTTTTGGTTGTCATCAGTATGGGGCTTTGGAGCATCTGGTCCCTTCACCTTCTATAGCCTCAGGAAGTCCATGCTGCCCATAGGCAATGCAGTGAGGGCTTAAGAATAGGAGGGGCTCTGCATTTAGACCACTGGACTTCAAATAAAGGAGTGAAGGCATCCAGCAGTGGCCTGATAACCATGTAACTGATTTAACATCTCCAGACTCAGTTTCTTCACGTGCAAATCGTGAGTAGTAAATGATACCTGTGTTAGAATTAAAGGACAGGTCTCCTCAGACACTTAGAAGGGGGCCAGTCGCTTGAGAAGCACTCAGTAAGCCCCAGCCATTATTACTGTGTTGTTATTCTTGTCGGAGCCTCTTTCCCCCTTTCTTGAGGTTACACTACTGTCATAAGATCTCCTGATGCCAAGACTATTCCAACAGCTCTTGCCGCTTCTTTAATTTTGTGTTTGTTGTGTCCATCAGGCCCCCCCTGCACTGGGATTGGAAACTGTGAGACTAGAAATGCCTGTCTTGTTTACCTTTTTATCCTCAGAAGTAGTACAAGGCTTGGTACATGGAAGATACCAAAAAATATTTGTTGAGTAAGGAAACTTAGTTGGTCGGTTCCTGAAATTCTACAGGAACCTATTTGGTTTGGACAGAGCTCATTTTGAGCAGAGCTCCTGGAACAGGACCATTTTCCTTTTAGAAACAACAGACTCAGGATTTGAACCCAGGTCTGTTGCCAGTGCGCGTGTGCACATTATCCTTGAATCCTTAGGCAAATGAGCCATGCCTAAGTCACCAGATGTTGGGTTGCTGAATGTGACAGAGGTGAAGGAGAGTGCTATTGTTCTAGCATGAGCTGTGGACACAGATTGCTTGGCACCAAATCTGGGTCTGCCATTTGTGAGTGATGAGATCTTAGGCAAATTTCTCAACCTCAGCCTCTCTGTGCCTCAGTTTCTTCCTCCATGTGATGTAGATAATTCTTACATGTACACTGATTTGTGTATAGTAAATTATACTGATCTCAATTCCAGGCCACATATGGTTGCATATGTCCTCTATGCTATGCACTCTACAACTGTGTCACTCATTTGATGGGTGACACAGCTGGCTTGGGAACCCAAGACTCCGCCTGGTGGCTGCAGCCTTATTTTGATCAGTGCCTCGCCATCATAACGTGATTTCTTGCTTCTGGGTTGCTCATTTCTTCCAGCAATACCTGAACACCTACTACGGCTGTCCCAAGGAGAGTTGCAACCTGTTTGTGCTGAAGGATACTCTCAAGAAGATGCAGAAGTTCTTCGGGCTGCCCCCGACGGGTGAACTTGACAAGAATACTATCAAGACCATGCGGAAGCCTCGCTGTGGCAACCCAGATGTGGCCAACTACAACTTCTTCCCTCGCAAACCCAAGTGGGACAAGAACCAGATCACATACAGGTGCCAAAGCAGGGCTGAGGGAACAGGGCTGGTGAGAGAGGGGCATGGAGTCACCTGAGTCTCCTCACTCAGGGATTTGGAGGGGGGTTGCAGACAAAGGTTTTGGTAAATGGAGACAGACAGAGCTAGACCTGAGTGTCACAGTCACTACTATGGGATATTGGGCGTCTTGCTTTTCAGTGGCTTCCTATAGAGGTGGTTGGGCAGCTAAGCTAGGCTGCATATAAATAAAGGGCTCCCACCATGTATGGCTCATAGCCCAAGTAGAACAACTGTTAGTCCTGGGTATTATTAGATGGGTCTTTGGGGCAGGCAGAGAGAGCTTGATGATTGGCTGCTAATTGGGTTTTTATATTAGAGAGTTGTAATAGTTATAATTAGGCTAAGAACTCTGCTTTGTAGGGCTGATGCTAGATTCCAAGGCTAAGATCTCTGCCTCATGTTCCACAGTGCACTATGTATTTCCCTGTGGCCCCATTGCCCAAGACAGAAGTGAGAAATGAGACTAAGGCAGGCCTAAAAATGTTGGCTGGTCCAGGATCCCACGGGAACTCAAGGCATTCTGGGAGGACTCTTCTCTCAGTGAACTCTGCTCAACACGCACACATATGCACCTATGCAAGCATGCATACTCACGCACATACTCACACGTGCGCATCTGCATGTACACCCCATGCGATTATGCACGTGCACTTCATGCACACACATTTGAGCACTTGCACACTGCATGCATGTTCACATGCCTTTCTGTCCCTTCCAGGATCGTTGGCTACACACCTGACCTGGACCCAGAGACAGTGGATGATGCCTTCGCTCGGGCCTTCCAAGTGTGGAGCGATGTGACCCCGCTGCGATTTTCTCGCATCCATGACGGAGATGCTGACATCATGATCAACTTTGGTCGCTGGGGTAGGCAGAAGAGGGGTTGGTTGGGGGGAGGGGAAAGAGAGCAGTGTAGGGACATTAGAGAGAGGCATGCTTAGACACTCCGGTGTCAGTGCTGGACTTGGTTTGGACATGGGCAGCTGGACATAGCATAGACACTGGAGAGCCACAGAGATGTGAGGACACAGTTAGTGTAACCTGGAGGAAGTGCTAACATGAAGTAAGTAGACTACTGTCCTGCTCAAATTGGGGCCACTAATGCGTACAGTTATTTAACTTTAATACAAAAAAATTAATTAGAGTTCACTTTCTCAGTCACACTAGCTGCATTTCAAGTGCTCAGGAGCCACTTGAGGCTATCGAACAGAGGATATTAGCCTTGTTGCAGAAAGTGCTGCCAGATAATCTGATAGACACTTGAGGAGCTGTAGGCGTGAGAGCAGATCGGACACGTGGAGCAGTGTAGACATGAGAGTAAGTGGCATGGAACCCAGGGTCAAGGCTGCCATGTGAGTTGGTGGTGTTAACACAGGCAAGAGCATAGACATGAAGGTAGTTGGTGTAGACCCTGAGTCATATAGGGATGAAGGTAAAGGGCACAGGCTCAGCACGCAGTGTAGACATATAGGTAGGTGGGGTGGACTTCACAGCACAGTAGGCCTGAGGGCGAGCATTGGGGCTGTTAATGATAATGTGGCATGAGGCAGAGAAAGGTTAGAAGGGCGGTGTTGACTTGAAGGTAGGTGGTATAGACACTGAAGATAAGAAGAGTATGTGGGGAGGATGTTGGTGTGGCCTTATGGGGATGTGAGTAGATACAATGTCATTGGTAACAGTGTAGACAGTAAAGATAGGTGGTGCAGATAAATGGGCATGTGGACTTGAAGAAGTAGTACAGACCACAGGATGGTAACAATCAGTCAGAAAATCTCCCCTGCCTCTGAGTTCCCTGCCCCAGACCACCCCAGTGAGACAGGGGAAGGTGACAGAAGCTAGGTGGGCTTGGGGTGTGGATGGGTTTCAGGCACCAGCTGGGCAGCTGGAAGCTGAGACGCAGTGTGGTTTCAGAGCATGGAGATGGGTACCCGTTCGATGGCAAAGATGGGCTCCTGGCTCATGCCTTCGCCCCGGGTACTGGCATTGGGGGAGACTCCCACTTTGATGATGATGAGCTATGGACTCTAGGAGAAGGACAAGGTAAGAAAGTGACCCTCTGCATGTCCCAGGACTCTCCAATCCTCCTCACTCCTCCCTGTCCCCAGCAGCAAGGACCATGGCTTCCCTTCCCAGCAGAATTAAGCCCTTCCATCTGCTCTAATGGGACCAGGGTGATGGGAGGGGAAGGAGAGTCACTCCCCTGGGTGAGCCTGTATCCTGGTCTCTGAAGAAAAAGGCCTGGAAATATAGGAGCCACCTTCTGTGCCACCTGCAGTGGTCCGTGTGAAGTACGGGAATGCTGATGGTGAATACTGCAAGTTCCCCTTCCTGTTCAATGGCCAGGAGTACAACAGCTGCACCGACTCAGGCCGCAGCGATGGCTTCCTCTGGTGCTCTACCACTTACAACTTCGACAAGGATGGCAAGTACGGCTTCTGTCCCCACGAAGGTGAGCATCACCCTCCCTCCAACTTTCCACCTTTTCCTCCAGCCTCCATGGGCTCCTGCTGTGTCCACACTGTCTGTACTTCTCAGGCTAGCACGCCTCCCAGTGCCCAGTCTACTATCCTGATTGGAGCCATCACTATTCTACTGTGACTGCCATGAATTGCTTAGTGACGTCCTGAAAAATGCGGATCATCCCTGTGTGAACACAGTGTCCTTATTCGAACCAAGATGGCCATGGTCTGTTGTTGACCTATACACTGCTGGGTGGTGCTTGATCATATTTACTTATTTCTTGTTTATTTAAATCACTTTAACTTTTTAAGTCTAACCATTAGCAGTAATATTTGTGAAATCATGGGTTGAATGTGCTAAGCATTTTTTTTAGCATACATGAGAATGAACTGAGAACTGTTGATATGCCTAGTGGCTCTCTGTAGGATCACTTCCTATACTCCAACCAAAACTGAGGGTTCAAGGGCAGGAGAAGCTTGGGAATGGCTGGAAAGCCTAGCAGTGGGACAGTGAAGCAGGATTCAACTCAAGATGGTACAGGCCTGGCTGGAGATTCCAACCCTAGAGTCATTCCTTCTGTGCTGGTCCTGATGCCAACGATGCTAGTGAGTGTGGGCATGTCAGCTATGCCATCTGCCTTTCATGGCTCGTCTTCTGTTCCTCAGTGGACTGTCTAGATTGAATCTATCCCTGTGTTGTGACAGATACCTCTTGGTATTTGCATGTGTGTTTGTCAGTGCTTGAAACAATTTTTTTCAGAGAGTTCTGCCATCTAGGAGGAGAGTTATTTAAAAGTGATCAGGATACTGACATATACACTCAAGCCTTTTTAAAAAATCCCCAACAACTCATCATCATAAATCTTTAGCAAAATAGTACAAGGGCTTCCTTCTCAATCAAGTTGTCATATGTCATGATTATCTAGAAATCAAAAGCCCAGAAAATTTGAGGAAAATGAGAGAAAATATAAGTTTTTTTAAGTATTAACGTCTTCCCCATCCCCTAAAGACTCTTCAATCTCTGTAAACTGAAGACCTTTCCTCTCTTTGGTTATAATTGTATGTTTGTGAATCTCTGTCCTCATTATAACTGAACACAGGTCACCAACCTTGGTGACAAGGGGAAAAACAGAGTTTGTTAATTGTCTTCCTATTTATACTTTCTTCTTGGTGCTGGGGATGAACCCAGAGCCTCATGCATGCTAGGCAAATGCTGTACCACTGAGCTACATCCACGCCCTGTTTGTATTTTAATTACTGAAGCTAACCTTTGTATTGAGTAAGAAGTCAAGCCATTAGCCATCAATAAGTCAGAAGGTTTTTTTTTTTTTTTTTTGGTATTAGGGCTTAATCTCAGGGCCTACACCTTGAACCACTCCACCAGCCCTTTTTTTGTGAAGGGTATTTTTGAGATAGGGTCTTGTGAACTATTTGCTCAGGCTGGCTTCAAACAGCAATCCTCCTGATCCCTGCCTCCTGAGTATCTAGGATTGCAGGCGTGAGCCACCAGTGCCCGGCTAAGTCAGAAGTTTTTAATAAAAATATTTCCTGCATCTTGCATTTCCCAGTAAGGAATCAGGTACCATTAACCCTTCTGTGAGTCAGCCCCCATGATCGGAATAGTGTTTGATGGAGAAACAGTGTGTGATAGAGAAATCGCTGATGTCGTAAGTTTGGAAAGGTTGTCCCCTGCATTGGCCATTAATTTGGTCTTTGGCCAGGTGCAAGTACGCACACCATCACGCAAGCACCACATGACTGGGGCTGGGCAGCCGTCTGTTTCTCCTTATCCAGCTCCTCCTGACTGCTGAGTCAGTGTCTGCTCTTCCCCATCCTCGGTGCATCCAGGATGGGGATCCCAGAGGACAGGCTTCCCGGGTGGCAGCTGATGGGAGGCCGTAGGGGGAGTCTGGCCTCAGTTGAAGTTAACACTTTACCTTTCCCCACTCTTACAAGTCTGGACTCAGTTTTACCTCTTTTGTAGTCCCACTGTTCCTGGCATTCCAGGGCACCATCTCTTGTTTCGGGGAGAGCTGAGCAGTGAGGTTTGGGGCTCTGAGCCCATGGTCTGGGCTCCATTCTGGCCATGGTAGAGTTAATGGGGGCTGGTGAGGTCACCTCTGGCTCAGTTGTGCACAGATGGTCCTTGTTACGCACTTGTGGTTTTGCTAGTTGGCAATTCCAGAGACACATCATTTTGTAGCTTTGGGGTGGAGGAGGGGACGGGGAGCAGGAGATTCCAAGACCGACAGGCTGGATCCTGAGACCAGGCCCCTTCCCCAACTCTCTCTCCAGTCATGGCCCTGCCCTAACGACGTCCTAGGGGGAGCCTAGAATGTGTATTAGAAGGTTCCCAGAGATACCACCTGCCCTTCCCTACTCCTCCTCCCCTCTTCCTCCTGCAGGGACCCAGGCTGTCTAGGAAAGGGAGTGGGGTTGAAAGGAGTGAAGCTTTCTCTGTGCATGTACACTGTACTTGTATCTGCATGTGTGTGCATGTGTGCTTGTGTGCACCCATGCATGCGTGCGTGTATGTGGTGTATGACAGAGTTCCAGAGAGAGGTTGATATGAGTCTGATTTGTAGTTTCCACTTACAACCCTTTTTGCTTCATTTATGTGACCATTAGCAGTTCCAGGCCAGCTTTCTCTGTGCCTCAGTTTCCTCATCTGTGAAATGGAGAGACTCCTGTGCATGTGCTTACCGTGGATGACGTATATATTCAGCAATCTCATTTGTGTGTGTATTGGCCAGACAGTGGAGCGCCATGTGGGGCTGGGGCAGGGTTCTGTGTCAGACATTAACTATGTCATGGTAGAGTTCACTAGGTCCTAGGGGAGGGCTTAGGTGGGCTGGGAGGCAGGAGTCCTCTCTGGAAGCTTAGACAAGTGGCTCTTTACCAACTAGTAGAGATTATTTTAATACTTTAACAGTGCAACAGCTTGACTGGTGATGGCAGGTAGGTGGCCAACCGGCTCTCTCTCAATGGCATCTTCCCTCTGTCCCCAATCCTAGCTCTGTTCACCATGGGTGGCAATGCAGACGGACAGCCCTGCAAGTTCCCATTCCGGTTCCAGGGCACCTCCTACAACAGCTGCACCACCGAGGGCCGCACAGATGGCTACCGCTGGTGTGGCACCACCGAGGACTATGACCGTGACAAGAAGTACGGCTTCTGTCCTGAGACAGGTGGGTGTCATTGCCTTCCCTGTCCACAAAGTCCAGCACCCTGCTGTCTGACAGACACCCGCTTAACCACCCTTAGCCTCCCTTCCTCAGGATGGTGTGTGGGGACCATCAACCTCACCCAACCTCTTTTGTGTCTGCCCTTTTGCCCCCATCACTGGAGTTTTAACAGTGGCTTAGGCTGCCAGAGTGAGTTTCTACTCTTGTACTTACTAACAGTATCTTCTCTGATTTCTCCAAGCCTCAGTTTCCCCATTCACAACTTGGGGGTAGCATGCCGTCTCTACTGCACATGCAGGTTACTGAGGGTGGTGGTGAGATGTGTAGAAAGCATTTGATTCAGTGCGTGGGACAGAGCAAGTACGGAATGAATGTGGGTTGTTAAAGTCAGCATCATGTTATTGTTTCCTGGTTGCCTTGAACCCTTTGCTGCCCCTTGACCTACATCCCTTCCCCCACAGCTATGTCCACTGTGGGCGGGAATTCGGAAGGTGCCCCCTGTGTCTTCTCCTTCACCTTCCTGGGCAAAAAGTACGACAGCTGCACAACTTCCGGCCGCAGTGATGGCAAGAAGTGGTGTGCAACCACGACCAGCTTTGATGATGACCGGAAGTGGGGCTTCTGCCCTGACCAAGGTATGAGGCCCTAGCCTTTGTGCAAGGATAATGGACACCTCCTCCACACACTGGGCCAGAGACCTTGCTAACTGCCAGCACAGACACTGCACCCCAGACACCCACCCACCTTGGCAGACATAGCACCTGAGACCTGCCCAACTGGAGACTTTGGGCTCAAAGATCCATGATGGCTCTCAGTGGCCAGGTGAGGGAGCTGGTCCAGTGCCTGCCAGAATTGAGTCAACTTCTCTTTTATGCTATTTTTATTCTTTGTACTCACAATGAGATGGAACTTGGTGAAGGCCAGAGACTGGCCAAATGCCGTGGTAGGATGTATTCGGGCTTTACATACTCTGTGCCATGCTTCTGCTCAAAGGTGGGATTCTCTCTCTCCATCCTCATGAATGGTTTGTGACTCATCTGATGAATACTAGAGTCCTCTAGCTTCCAGGACAAAGCGCCATAAACTCATATCTCCCTTCTTTCGGAGATACCAGTTAGTTAGGGCCCAGTTTCTTCTGAAGGCTGGGTCACTCCTTTCTCAGCCCCTGTGGCCTTCTCCCTTGTGTCTATGCCTGTCTCTGTGTCTGTTTAGAAAGATGTGAGCCATATTGGATTAAGACCCAGTCTACTCCAGTGTAATATCTTAATTATATCTGCAAAGATCCTATTTCCAAATAAGGTCACATTCACAGGTACCCAGGGTTAGGACTTGACATACCTTTTGCTGTTTTTTGGATGGGAGATGTAATTCATCCCACAGTAGGGTGTGATATAGGATTTTCGTACTTTCTGTGGCTGAGCCTGGACCAAGTGGGAATGGTTTTTACTGCTTTCCCTAGGGTAATGGTGGAGCCATGGGACCAGCCTATTCCCACTCCCCTACCTCTTTGGTGACCCTGAAAAGCAGGATTTATACCTATTTATAGACATGATTTTTTATAGCAAATGGGACTTTAAGTAGAGAATTTTTTTTTTTTGGATGCTTCTTGTCCTTCTCCCTTATACGTACAGCCTATGCCAAGAAGGAGCAAGAGGACTTTGACCCACCCTCTTAAAAGCAATAGACTTACTTCCATTAACCCCAGGATTCTCAGGACAAGGGAAAAGCAGTTATGTGCCAGTTCTAGGGTTTTTGGCCTAATCCTGGGGATGTTCCAAAGTCTCCCTCACTGGGACAAGGTCCTGACTCTAGTCTTCTTTCTTTCTTGTCTTTCAACTGCTGTGACCCTCAGGCTACAGCCTGTTCCTTGTGGCAGCCCATGAGTTCGGCCACGCCATGGGGCTGGAGCACTCGCAAGATCCTGGGGCCCTGATGGCGCCCATTTATACCTACACCAAGAACTTCCGGCTGTCCCAGGATGACGTCAAGGGCATTCAAGAGCTCTATGGTAAACCGAAGCTCGGAGGAGTCTGGGAAGGTCTGGGGGTGTGGTGCAGCTGGGAGGGAAGCCCACAGATTGGGCACCAGCCAAGTCCCTTCTAGCCAGGGCTCCTAGAGACAAGGGCAGGAGACAGGAATGATGATGTGGTCCCAGGTTGGACAGCCCTGTCCTTTCTAAACATCACTAGTGGTTAGCGCCCCATTTCTAGGGTGGTCCATTTTCTAGGCTAGATAACTTAGGCCTGAAAAAAGCAACCTTTCTGGCTCAACATCCCCCAGGTTTAAGCAACCAGGTGGGGATTAAGATGCAAGACAGTGAGGTGACAGAGCAGGATTTTCTGTGGCGTGGAATGACCTTGATGGTAGTGGAATGAAAGTTTCTAGTTTTCATAACATTATTTTATTTTAATTTTTTTGTGGTACTGGAGGTTTGAACTCAAGGCCTCACCGTTACTAGGCAGGTGCTCTGCTACTTAAGCAACCACTCTCTTTCCCCGAAGCCCTTCTTGCTTTAGTTATTTTTCTTATAGGGTTTGTGTTTATGCCTGGGCTGACCTGGCCTTCAATCCTCTATTTATGCTTTCCAGTAGCTAGAATGATGGGCAGGTGCCACCATGCCCAGCTTTTTATTGGTTGGGATGGTCTCAAACTTGAATCCCCATCCTCCTGATCTTCATCTCCTAAGTAGCTAGGATTACAGTTGTGAGCCACTACACCTGAACAGAGCATGCTTCTATTTTAATATGTAATAGAGCCTGTAATGTAGTCTCTGCTTCTTGATTGTACTTACAGTGAGGCTGGAGTGTAAAAAGTCAGTCCATTTCTTAAAAGAGAAAGAAGAGAAAGTAATTATGTAATGATCCTGATGGTTCCAAGACTAGGCAAAATAGTGAAAGTGGGTTTGAGGGAGGATACTTGGGGAGGCCCAACCTGGGAAAGAAGCCATGATTCTAAATGAGAGGTCCCAGGTTTGAGTTCTGCCTCTGCCACTTATCCCCTATAAGAACTGAGCAAATCTTCACCTCCCTGGACACAGTTTTCTCAAATGTGACTGTTTATCATGAGGAGAAGAAGGAATTAACCCTAGAAGGAATACCACACCCCTGGGACTAGCCACACAAGTGACCCCCTGTCTGCCCTGTCTCTTGTGGGCAGAAGAACCTGGACTTTGGGTTGAATCCTTGCCCAAGTCCTTTGATCTTTCTGGGCCTCAGTGTACTGGGGATATACAGAGGACTGATTCAGGGGATGTCAGTGAAGAATGTTACACAGCAACAAACACTACAAGATTCTGGTTTCTCTTCACTCCCCTTCCAGAGTCCTCTTTCTGTTCTGGGCTTACACTCACACAGAAGACTTCCTTTTGACCTTAGCAGGTTGGGTGGGCTGTCCTGGGGCCCTGTCTTGTAGGAGAACCTTGGAGCTAGGGAGAGTCTAAGGCAGGTGTCCCTACCTCCAGGGCCCTCCCCTGATGTTGATACTGATGCTGGCACCGGCCCCACCCCCACGCTGGGACCTGTCACTCCAGAGCTTTGCAAACATGACATTGTCTTTGATGGCATCACTCAGATCCGTGGGGAGATCTTCCTCTTCAAGGACCGGTGAGTGCAGTCCCATCTTGTCCTTCTTTGTTCTCTGTCCCTTCCCTGTTGCTCCTACCCTTTGCTGAGGACTCTGCTGGGCTATAGGAGGCAGAGATCTCAGTGACTGACAATACCCACATTTTTTTTGGCTCTGTCATACTTTTCGGGTCTCTTATATGTCTAGGTTTCTGGCTGCAGTGGGACAACAGACATGCTGTGCAGGTCATTCATTCTCCCAGGGTTAGTGGATATCCATGGCAAATGGCAGGGCTTAAGAGGCCAAAGCAAGCCACACAAGCAGATTTAACACTTCCACTCATATCATGTCTGAGAACATTCCATTGGCTGAAGAAAACCATGTGGCCAAGCCCAACACTGACTCTAAAGGATGGACTGCAGTGTCACATGTCAGCACAAAAGGATGTATGAGTCTAAAGTAGGATGGAGGACAGAACTGGGGAAAAATAAACCAATCTACTATTTCTTGTCTCCTGGAACCCCAAATGGCCAAATTTTGCTCCAGGTGTGGGTAGCAAGTGACCAAGTGTAGAGGGGATCAGTGTCCTTCATGCTAGAGATAAAGGCCCCACTCATTTGACTAAGGAAGAGCTGAGAGTCACCTTTGTGCCCTAGACCCCTGGGTAATGGCCAGCATTATTTAATACGTCCATCCATCCATCCATCCATCTATACCTACATTCTTCTGTCCATCATCTATGCACCTGTTCACTCGTCATCCGTCCATCCATTTTCCATTAAATGTCTGTCCACAATCCATTGTCCTTCCGTCCGTTGACATATCTACACATTCATTCGTCAAAGAGTTGAGAAAATGCACTCTGGTGTTAGAATACTGAACCTGCTGTGTATGGTGCATGGTCATCAGGAAGTCAACCAAGTATCTTTTTTGTACCTCAGTTTCTTCATCTCTAAAATGGGGCAATTCCAACCCATCAAATAGAGCAGTTGTAAGGATTAGAGGAGCTTAGTGCTTACAGCAATGCCTGACACAGAGTAAGTGTATGCAATCCTATTAACTATTATTATTGACAAGCCATTATTTGGCATCTATTATGCCAACCACTTTGCCAGGCTTTTGTAGCTGGGGCAAGGAATATAGCATGCTGGGGACAGAAGGTCTGCCATGTCTATATCAATGTTCTCGAAGACAGGTGCATGGGTTTCCTATACCAGAACTAGAATGTGAGTGGGAAAAGTGTGAGTTACATTCCCTGTCCCAAGCCCTTTGACTGGAATCCCTGGAGGCAACCCCAGGAATTTGTATCTTAGCAAATTCCCCCATGATTCTGATGCACATTAACGTCTGGGGAGACAGGCATAGAGAACTGGCGATAATATACACATGAAATGAAAGAAATGTGACTGCACAGGCATTAGCAAAACGCTTCTGTGCACATGTCCCAGCCTTCCCAGAGGAGGCAGCCTTTCAACAGGGCCTTTAAGGGGTGATGCAAGATTCTAATGATGGTGACAGGGGAGGTGGGTTGGAAACAAAGCAGCCGTGAAGATGGGAAAATTCCAGGTTTACACAGAGAAGAACAGGGTGCCCAGGGTAGCTAAAGGATGTTCCCTGAATTTGGGAAGGGCCTCCTCTGCTCCAGGCACAGGGCCAGCTGCTGGGTGTATGTGCTCTGTCCCTCAGGCGCTCTGCTGGCCAGTGGGGAGATGGCAGGAAAGGCAGAGCACAATGACACTCAAAAGGCAGTGACAAAGTCAGGTCCCCTTAGGCCTCAGGTGTCTAAACCAGCATGTTTAGAGCAGAAGTTGGTGCTGCTCTGCTGCCCCCTCACAGTGATGCTGAAGAAATAAGAGGAGGCCTACCTCTAGCAGTGTCCTCAGCCGGGACATTTCCCACCAAGGAAGCCCATATCACACGTGCAGATGTCAGAAGTGTGGACAGGAAGGTGCTCAGCCAAGGCCTGGGCCAGAGCCATTTCTGGTCTGCCACATCACACTTTGTTTCAAAAGGACTTTGAGGAGTATTTAATGGACTCAGTGAGTTAATCAGTAAATAAACACTGACCCTGTTCAAATATTGGTGATAGGTACTGGGAGAATGAGAAAGACAGTACTGTAGGAAGATTAATTTGGATTTTAGAGTCAGATCTGGAGTTGAATCCTGGTAATACCATAAACTCTCTGAGCTCCATTTGGATGAAGCTCAAATAAGGATGGTGACACCTTCCTGTACTCGGATATTTTGCTGCAAGTAATAGACACCCCCTACCCCTGCCCAAAACTTAAGCCAGCTTAAACAGTGGAGAGAAATTGCTCCTTCATGGTACAGTCCAAGCATAAGGCTGTTTCCAGGGCCAGAGGACAGTCAGTGGCTTTATGTCTATGTCCACTGTCATCCTTTGCATTGACTATGCTAAGACTGGGTCACCTCGTGGCCACAAGATGACCGCCAGTGGCAATTGGGATTACAGATTTCTCACATCCAGCAGGAGAAAAAGAGAGAGAGGGGAGAGCAAGAAAGTTAAGAGAATGAAGGAAGGAGGAGAGGAAGAGAGAAGAAAAGGGAAGGAGAGAGGGAGAGGGAGGGAGGTCCCCAGGTGTGAGATACCAGTCTATCTGCTCAATCTTGTCATGTCAGTGTAAGACACAGGCCAAGGACTGCTAAGCCAGTAAATTTTGGCACACATTAGACAGATTCTAAGCCTTCTGAAGGCTTGTTTAGACAGATTCTCAACCACAAGCCCAGAGTCTGCTCTATAGGTCTCAGGTGGATTTGTATTTCTAACAAGTGCCCAGGTAATACCAGTGCTGCTGGTGTGGGGACCACACTTTGTGAATCAGTGGCTTAGACTAATCAGCATCTCTCTATTCCTAGAATGAGGATGGGGGTGGGTGGCAGGGGCTGGTGGTGGCGGTGGTGAAGGTGGGTCATAAATGTGGAGTCCTCAGAGGAAGGATGAAAGGAAAGGGACATAGACAATAAATGCTGGGTGGATCATCATGAGTGCATATTATACTATGTGAGGATTGAATTTTGTAAGACATATAGTGATTGGTGCTTAGTGGACCCTCAATAAGTGGTTGCTGTTACTCTTGCCAAAGTGCATGGATTCATTCCATTCCAGTCCAGGAAGTGCTTCAGAGTGTCATCAGCTCCTGTCTCAACTGGCATCTAGTCAAACAAGAGAGAGAAGATGGCAAACTGTTGCTCCAGACACTCAGTATTGAAGCTTTTGCTAGGTTTAGAGGAAGATGAATACAGTGTAGATAGACGTAGTCAGGGAAGGCTTGCTGGAGGAGTTGGAGGTGGGGAGCACAGGGGTCACTTCTGGTGTCTTGCAGAGACAACTCTGCCTATTCTCTAGTCTTCTTCAAGCTTCTCTTGTTCTCACCTCCCTCTCCGATCATAGACTCATTGCTGGATGTTTCTGAGTGGGTTTAAGGAGGCATACGTGGTTAGAGCTGCAGGACGTCTGAAGGTGTGATTTCCTGTGTCCCTTTCCTGTCCCCAGGTTCTTTTGGCGGACAGTAACACCAGGTGACAAGCTTACAGGACCTCTGCTGGTGGCCACATTCTGGCCTGAGCTCCCAGAAAAGATCGATGCTGTGTACGAAGCCCCACAAGAGGAGAAGACTGTGTTCTTTGCAGGTGTGTGGGCAGGTCCTGCTTACCCTTAGCTCCACTGGGTGTCGTTCTGCCTGGTCAGGCCCACGCCTCCGTCAAACCACAGTCTCGGCCACCTGGGGGTGCTCTGTCTTCTCGAGGGATCCAGTCTTTGAACATCATTTCCTAAATCGTGGGCTTCATGTGGGAGATTGGTCCAGAAACTCAGCATTGAATAGCTCAGCCCACAGAGGGATCATTTCCTTTTCTTTGAGTTCTTTTTCAACCCTCTGATTCCTTTTCTAGAAGGGAAAAAAAATCTCATTTTAATGCTAATGTCCCTAACATCTTTCCAATGCTGGAGCCTTTGGCCATTGCTTTAGTTAGAATTTTTAATAACTTCGTTGGTTTTCATTTTAATTTTTAACATAAACTTACTTTAACACAGGTAGCTAATTGTGATAGGATGACATTTCAAACTGCATTAGAAATGGACTGTTCACTATGTGTATTTAGACAACCGAGGTAAATTTTTCAAAGAAATTTATTTTTAAAGATTTTGAAATGAATTCACACAAAGCAAAATACAAAGCTTGAAATATTATTAGGAGTCTCTAGAAGTGGAAAAAACCACCACTCATACAGGGTGCGTGTGGCTGGAGTTTGGGAAACCCTGCTCATTCAACATTTATTTGAGTACCTACTATGTGCTGCCCTTTATTGGGCTCTTGGCATTCAGCCTCTGCCCTCCTCTACCCACAGAATACTCAGGGAGCCCGACCCCTAGGCTGTGAAGAGGGCATGCAGTGTGGGCTGCAGTGGGGGCTAAAGGGCTCAAGAAGGCTTCTTAGTGTTGCTAAGGCTCAGCCAAGATGTGGGACTTACTGTCCCACCCACCTGGCTTCCTTCTCCTCTATCTCATGGTGACCATAGGTCCTGGCCAGGGCAGCTGCTGACTCTCAGAGCAGCTTTGTACAAATTAGGAAGAGGTACCCCTTTACAGCAGGCATGACACTTGCGAGAGCTGCATCTTACACCCCCACTCACCTCTTGGACCTGGCACTTTTTATAATCAGCTTACACAACTCAGTATGTGAGGCCTGACTTTGGGCACTGAACCCAGGTGCCAACAAGAAGCTGGGCCCTGTTGACAATGGCTGCAGTAAGCTCCTGTGCCAGACAGGTGACGGAAGGGACAAGGCACGGCTGCCAACATACTTTCTGCTCCTCTTCCACCCAGGGAATGAGTACTGGGTCTATTCTGCCAGTACCCTGGAGCGAGGGTACCCTAAGCCACTGACCAGCCTTGGGCTGCCCCCAGATGTTCAGCGAGTGGATGCTGCCTTTAACTGGAGCAAGAACAAGAAGACATACATCTTCGCTGGATTCAGATTCTGGAGGTAAGGGAGACTGGGCAGGACAGCAACCCAACTAGCTGCATAGAACAAGGCACATTATGGCTTGATGCCACTTTGGTCAAGTTCAGAGGTTGGTGGGCTGTGAATACCTCCTCTCTGATCTCTCTCTGCCAGGCTGAGCCCCTCTGGGAACTTACTACAAGATGAGCCTTCCTTGTGCCAGTTACTGGTACACATTTGGCCAGACTGTCCTTTCCTCCTCAGTTGTCTTCTGATTGCACCACACTTTCTAGGGTGACTCACTGAAGAGGGGGGATGATAAAGATACAGATAGTATGGCTGCTACTGAGGACACTGTGTGCCCGACACTATTCTAAAGGTTCTGTGCGGTGCATCAGATTCTTCTTCTTCTTCTTCCTGTTTTGTAGGTGTGGATGTTTGGTTGCAGAAAGGTTAAGTGACTAGCTTAAAGTCACACAGCCAAGCAGTGATAGGTTGGGCTCTGAACTGTGGCATTCTGGCTCCCAGGGAGCAGGCTGGACTTTGCTATACTGTATGTGGTGTAGGGAGTTCCAGAGAAGGAAGTGGTGGAGGCCAGGCTGGCAGAGGGAAAGATTTGAAGACAGATGGGCACAGCCACCGCCCACAGAAGTCAGCATCTAAACCAGGTCCCATGGCAGCAGTGGGCCCAGTGGCTTTGGGTACAGACTGCCATTGAGGGATGGGGAGGTTGGGAAACAGATAGCTCTCCCCAGACATCTAAAAAGAAAGGTCCAGAGGCCAAGGTCAGGCTAAGGAGCCAGGGAGTCCAACATCTGGGAGCAGTTGGTGAGAAGCGTCTCAATTCTCACACTTCCCAAACTAGGAAGCTGAGGCCCAAAGAACTAAATAACTTGGACAAGTTGTTTAGATACAAGTGTGTTGGCACACTTCTATTCTCCTCCCCCCGAGTGCCCCTCCACTGTACCCTCTGGGTCATTTGGTCAGCGGGAAAGGGGGTGTATTTCCATCTCCCCCTCCTAGCATCCCCATGTTCCTTCTGCATCTGCCACTCCATTAGGGCCCTACCGAGGAACCAATTAAAGGGCACTCCCCGAGGCCTTCCTCTGTTGTCCCCAACAATCCTGCCTCCTCCGAGGTTCTGTCTCCTCCCCTTCCCTCCTCTCACCACCCTGACCCTGCCGACCTGATTCAGAAGCTGCTTGTGTCCTAGGCCTGCCTGTGTCAGGGTGGAATTCTGGACACACTGCTAAGGTACTTAGCGAGCTAAGCTGATTGATCTCTCCAGCCTCAAGAAGGAAAACAGTCAGCCAGGAAAGCACTGAGTGGACCTTCTACCCATGTGCTCCAGAACTTTCCCAGGCATGTTCACATACAGCTAATGGCATCTCAGTCTCATAGGTGCTCTGAGTCTCCAAATCTGAGGATGGTGGACAGTGAAAGGCAGAGAACCATGGAAGGACTTTTACAGTTACTTCCACACATCCTGTGTATGTACACATGCAAGAACAGAGCCACTAATGTATCTTTAAACTCTCCTTTGGACTGGCACTGAGCTACTTGCTGGGAAGACAGTGGTCGAGAAGCAGTCACTCCTCACCCTGGAGTGGGGGAAAGAGACTCAAACACATCTGAATCATTTAATGGTGGCTGTCCTGACAAGCCTGTGTCAGCCCCGGGCTGAGGCTGCTTACACTGCCTGGATTTCTCTTTTAAGGTAGATACCATCAGCTCCATTTTCCAGATTAAGGATACCAAGGTTGTCAGAGACACACGTAGAAAATCTAGGACACAGATGTCCATGTTCTTTACACCTGCTCTCCTGCACCTCCAAATAGCTGCAGATGAGAAATTTCCGTGACACCTTTCAAAACAGTGTGCTAGCCTGTGGGCAAACTGGTTAAGATGGTGGGGACAGCCGGGGAGGGAAGAAATTCAGTCTTCTTCAGAGCAGTCTTCTCATGCCCAAACACGGTTCTTCCTGGATGACAAGAACTTGGAAATTAGTTCACTTCTCTGAGCCTTAGTTTTCTCATCTCTATAGTGAGCTTGATTCTTCCCTGCCCTATCTGCTGGGGGTAGCCTGAGAAAAGAAATGAGTGCAACATATGTGTGAGCCATCGTAACCCTAGTGATGTCCTTTGAGGGGTCTCTGGAGGTGACAGATGAGGGGGCTGGGATTTAAAGCCAGGGGACTTGGTTTGGGTAACCCCTGCCATGAAGAAGCAGATTTTTTTTTTTTTTTTTTACAAGAAGTGGTCTAATGAACTGGGGTTAGGAGGGCTTTCCTGGCAGTTCATGGGGTGCTAATCTGCTGGGGGAGATCCCTGTAGAAGGGAGCTGTTGTTGGGAGTCCATGGTGATGGTGGTAGGACTGACTTTGGGGAAGAGAGCCAACAAGGAGGCAGCACAAAGGAAGCTTGGCTTTTACCAGGATTCAAACAGATCTGTCTAGAAAATTCACTGCACAAGGATGAGTTTGATCTTGTTTATTGAGATATCCATAGGCACATAATGGGAGCTCATTAAATATTTATAACATAAGGAATAAGCTGAGAGACATTGGAGAAGCAAAGGAATTGAAATAACAGCAGCACTTAAAAAGTTCTCCCTTGGCATGATGGCACACGCCTGTAATCCTCACTATAGGGGAGGTAGAAGTAGGAACATCTCAGCCCAAGGCAGGCCCGGACAAAAGTTAGCGGAAGACCCTATCTGCAAAACAAACTAAAAAAAAAAAGAAAGCAAAGGGCTGGGGGCATGAATCAAGGGGTAGAGCACTTGCCTATCAGGGGTGAAGCCCTGAGTTCAATCCCCAGTACAGCAAAATTAAGTTAAAAGATAAAAAGTTCTCCAAAACATTAAAAATGGCAGAGGTGTTACTAGTCAGGGAGAACAAGCCAACTAATGCCAACAATGCCTAATTGCTTGAATTAAAAGCAGTGCCCAGGCTACCTACATGTCCTGACAGCTGCAGCCAGGACTGAGTAGCGTGGTCCTCCCTGTGACTCACAGGCCGGGTGCTCATACCTGCCACATTGCCATGTAACTTCCCTCTCCCAGCCATTGTCATCTCTCAGACACGGCTTGTAACGTCCACCTGACAGATGAAAAAGCCACAGTTCGTTCAAACTATGCAGTCAAAAACTGTGGGGCAGGTCCTTGTCCCTGGGCTCCTGGCCCAGTGTCTCTCAGATAGCAGCAAGGATCCAAGTTTGGAAGGCCAGGTGCCGATGGCTCCTGTGAGTAATCCTAGGGACTTGGGAAGCTAAGGTTAGGAGGGTTGTGAGTCAAGGTCAGCCTGAGCAAAAAGTTCATGTGACCCACCCCCCATCTCAACCAATAGCTAGACGGAGTGGCTCATACCTGCCATCCCAAGCTATGCAGGAGGCTGAGGTTGAAGAAAATCATGGTTCTAGACCAGCCTGGGCAAAAAAGTTTGCAAGAGCTCAATCTCCATGGAAAAAAGCTGGGAGTGGTGACGAATCCCAGCAATGGTAGGAAGCATAAAATAGGATCATGGTCCAGGCCCACAAGGGCAAAAAGCAAGACCCTATATCCTCCAGCAAAAATGGCTGGAGGCATGGTTCAAGCACCTACCTAGCAAGTTGGAAGCCCACAGTTCAAACCCCAGTACTGTTAAAAAAAAAAAGTTTGTGAGGAGCAAACATTTCCCAAATGTAGACTAAGTACCAGACGTGGAGATGGACACTTTTCACGTGGGCAGGGGTCACAGGATTGTTTTTATGAAACTGCCCAGTGGTGTTTGGATTCAGACTCCGGTCTCACTCTAGACCCTTCCACTACTGCCTACTGCCTCCCTGAAGGGCTAGGTCTAGTTTCCCAGGCATACCCAGGGCCATCATCTGGGCCCTCCCCACCAGGATGGGGGAGAGATGGCCTTCAGAGAGGTCCAGCTGATATGCCATGTCTCTTTCAGATACAATGAGGTAAAGAAGAAAATGGATCCCGGCTTTCCCAAGCTCATTGAAGAGGCCTGGAATGCCATCCCCGATAACCTGGATGCTGTCATGGACCTGCAGGGCAGTGGTGAGCTACCCAGGCCCCTTCCACTTTCTAGGAGTCCCCACCCCCAGCCAGCACACACTCCCTCATTGTGCAGGGCAAGCATTGCCCTGGGAAAACAAACTGGCCCCTTCAGCCCAGCACTGGCAAGGCATCCAGCCCTCCTGGCCCCTGCTCCCCGCCCACCCCCGGCCAGGCTCCAGGCAGTAAGACCTAGAGAGGCCCCTCACAGCTACAGGGCCTGGAGCCAGGGCAGAGGAGGGGCAGGAGGCCTGCAGGGGGTGAGGAACATAGCCTGGTTCCCTGGATTCAGTCCGGGGTTTGATTCAAGCCCTTCTGGGTTTTGCTGGAGGCCTATGACCTCTTCCCATTAGCAGAAGGATGGCTCCATTTGAGACAAGGCAAACTTTGTCACGCTTTGTCGCTCATGTGGCAAAGATCTTCCACTCAGCTGTGTGCTCCATTGTAGACTAAAACACCACCAGTATCAGCAAAGGGGATAGAATTTGGAGTTTAAAATCCATGTTCTTGGGGAGACTTCTGGGAGCTCTGGAGGGCACTGGAAGTGAGGTCAATTTCATTTCTTAGAGATGTTAATTCAATTCCATAAACATTTTTTGAGCCCTTACCATCTGTTAAACACGTAAGCTCTGAACTCCAGTGGCTAAAGGTCTTACATATGCCAGATAATAAAAGATAAAAAAAAAGGATAAGTAGTATATAATCAGGTGATAGGATTATCATCAACCAAACACCTACTTCATGCCAGGGTTTTTAATGAAGTAAATGTTAGGAGAAATTCAGAGTCCAAAGCCTCTAGGAGACCAGACAGGGAGACAGTAGGGAATGGAGGCACCTGTGGTAAGACAGAGCACATGGCTCCCTAATGGAGGAGTTGCTTCCTAGCCTCTGGTGATTGCTGACCTGAAGAATCAATCCAGGCCTAATGTTTTTACACATTCCAGTTGTTTTAAAAAGAAGTCAGAAATCTTTATATTTATTTGATGTTTCCAGATGTTTCCATGTTGGCAACTTCTTTGGAATTCAAGACCAAATAAAACAAAAAATCATGTGAGCCAAATAAAAGTCTTCTAGACTTCTTCTAGACCTGATAGGACGAGAAGCCTCCTTGTTTCCACCACAGGGTCTGGAAAGTGTTTGGCTTGGTGCCTGTGCTGAGTGGAGAGCTGTCACTGTTATCAGGAATAGTGTGTTTACCTAAGTTAATCTTATCACAAGCCTTAAGAGGTTGGTGTCTTTATCTCTGTCTTAGCGATGAGCAAACAGAGGAGATCTGACTTCATAGCCATTTCCCTTTGTCTAGCCCCAAAGAGGTCTTCTCTGGTTTCAAAGCTCCCTCCATGTGTTAGGCAGACACATGTCTTGTTCCCAGGAACCTTCCTCGTGCCAGAATGTCAGGATAGGGTGGTCATAGCCTCTCTTTCTTCTCTGCCCCAGGTCACAGCTACTTCTTCAAGGGTGCTTATTACCTGAAACTGGAGAACCAAAGCCTGAAGAGTGTGAAGTTTGGAAGCATCAAATCGGACTGGTTGGGCTGCTGAGCTGGCCCGGCTTCCATGGCCCTTCCTCTCCATCCCATCTGACAGCCAGGCCTTGAGCGCCCGGGAAGGACGAAGAAAGGCCTGGCAGCCCTACCCTCAGCTCTGTTAATCAGCATTCTCATCCTCACCTGGTAATTTAAGATTCCAGAGTGGCTCTTCCCTGTGTCCAAAGAAAGGTGCTGATTGTACCCCTCCCAGGTGTCCCTTTCCTTTCCTCCCCACAAAGAGCTGCTTTGATATTCTCAGTGCAGCCCTGCTTTGGGCTGCCCTGGTGCTGCCACACTCTTCTCCCTCCACAACCTTCTGTGGCTCACAGCACCCTCAGAGCCAACAGAGATCGTCTCAACAGGGCACTGGTGGCCCAACAGCCTAGCAGGGGGCAGTGGGATAGAGACATAGCTAGGTGGTATTCAGAGACACCTGGCTTCTCACTGCTGGCTGCCTTAGAACCCTCCCTTCATTAGCAATTTGCTCTGCGTGCACTTTGGGATTTTTTTCTTTTATCTTTCCACTATATTGCATTTTCTGACAGAAGGACTCAGGTTGTCTGAAGTCACTGCACAATGCATTTCAGCCTGCATAGCGATAGTGCCCTGGTTCGCTGTACTTAGAATGTCCAACCCGTTCGTTTCCTCCACTGGATGGAGGAAAACTATACTGTGGCCTCTCGCTCAGCCCTTTCCACCTCTCCTGTCAACAGTTCCCCATGGGAAATGGCAACAGTATAAATAAAGACACCAATTGAGTGGCAGTGTTTGCATCTGTTTTTGCAGGGACCAGAGCCCCATCTAGAAGAGGAAGCTTAAAAAGAGCAAATCTCTGCTCTCTGCAGGGTATACATGTCTGCTGGAAAGGTCAGAGCTGCCAAAATAAACAGCTACAGAGCTGCAGGTCCCTCCAATCCGTGTGAGGAAAAGCCTGGCTACGGCAAGCTTTCTTTTTTGGGGTCTGGTCAAGATTTGCTTTCTTGGAGTCTTGGGTTTTTAAAAATGTTTCGGCAGTACTGGGGTTTGAACTCGGCTTCACACTTGCTAGGGGCACTCTACTGCTTGAGCCATACTTCTGGCCCTTTTGCACTGGTTATTTTAGAAATAGGCCTATTTTCCCTGGGACTAGCCTGGACCATGACCCTCCTATTTTATGCTCTCACAGTAACTGGGATAACAGGCACTCGCCAGCTTTTTCTGTTAAGATGGGAGTCTCTCTAACTTTGTGCCAGGGCTGGCCTGTATCCACTTTAGTCTCTGGTGTAGTTTGGATGAAAGGTGTGGCACCTGGCTGGGTCCTCCGTTTCATTTCATGGGCAGTGACAGGAGTTCTAATGTTGGTACTGCTAACAATTACACAACTCTGACCCCTTTCTAATGGTGTTTACTGTATGCCAGATGCTTTCTGTGCATTGCTTACTTAACCTTTATAACCCCCTTACGTGAATTGGTTGAATCCTAGTGATAAGGAAACTAGACCCAGAGAGAAGTGGTTTGCCCAGGGTCCTAGAGCTGTTTTGTAACAGAACTGGAGTCAAAGTCAAAGGATGCCATACAAGAGGAACTTTAGCCTTCAGCCTGCTTCCCAATCAGCAGTGTGACCCTCCACCCAAGCCTCCCTGAGTAAACACTCCTGGGAGGAATAATGTGCTTGCTTTCTAAACACAGCCCTTGTCAATGGTAAGCTTCTTCCTGCCAGACTCCCTACCTCTCCTCCTTCCTATACAGAAATTTGCCAAGCAAATTTAAGGCCTGGGATTTTTTCCTGGTAGGACTAGTGGGAAAGGGGTGAGGGGAGGACCTGACTCTCTGGGATTGCCTGAGCCATCTTTTCTCCTCCCAAGACCTGCCCACACTGGTTTTGGTTCTTAGGACCCTGTACTGATAGCCTTTCTACAGTGTCTGGCTAGGTACCCAAGGGCACACAGTCCTTGAAGGTATGTTGCAGTCCTACTTAAAGATTCCCTAGGCCAGGTAGGGAAGCTTATATCATAACTATGATGTAGCTATTGGAGGTTCTTTGTTACATTGAGGAAAACTTAGCTGCTCCTCACCATTGCTATTCTTAAAGTGCTGGTCTGTGACATTACACATGCATTAGGCATTATGATTTAATCCTTACCACAGTCCTATGGTAGCAATAATCTACCTCTCCTAGATGAGGCAACAAGTTCTGAGAGGCCAAGTGAGTTATGCCTAACTCAAGGCAGCATATCTGTCTGGTAGGGTTCAAAGATTCTGCTAAGCTATAGTGGAGAAGTTTGGAGGAACATCTATCCCAGGGCCCAGACTGAATCTCCTTGTGGCCTCCCACCTGCTGTGAACAGAGTGGGTCAGTAGCAATGAGTTTACCATTCCTACTTGCTTTAACTCTCAGTCCTCAGGTCCTGGGGCACCCCGTCTCACCCCCTCTTCCTTATAAGTCCAGACAGGCCTGTGTACTTCCTCAGGGTAAAATGGAACTTCTGTCCAAATCACTTCCCTTTTCTGGCTCAGGTCCCTCATCTGCAGTGGAAGCCAACTGTTGGTTTCGCCTTTTCTAATAAAATAGCACCTCAGTTTTCCTGTAAACCATTTTCCTGCTGTCAGTCGTATGCTTTCAGTGGGACATATTCCATTCCTTTTACCAATTTCTATGTTAGCTCTCTTTCAGCTGTTACCTGTGAACAGGTTACACAGAAACAAAATGCACACCAGAAATCAAACACAGACAGACAAAACCCAACCCTAGATATATTCATTCGCTTAATGGAACAGCCCAGGGGAAGTACTCCTGGTACTGCTGGATCCAAATTCTGGTTATCTTCCTTTATCCCCATTTCAAAGGAAGAACTTTGAACTTGAGGCTCATGGACAGAAGTAATTTGGCAAGTGTCACAGAACCAGTAAAATAGAGTGAAAGTCTATTCACTGACCTTATAGCAGGGATCCCTGCCTACGGTGTATCATTGGAGCGTGAGGAATACCGAGGCAACCTTCAGGGGTCTTTGCTCCAAAGGACAGCATGGGGGCGGAGCTATGGGAGTCAAGGGGAGGGGCCACGGACAGAAGGTGTGGCTACAGCTGTGGGCGTGCCCAGAGCCTAGGGGCGGGGCCACTGCGGTGGGCTGTTGGGTAACTGGCGCGCGCTCAGAACGCCCGGGTTGGGACTCAGCTGGGCTGGGCTGTGGCTGTCCTGCCGCGCTGGGCTGTGCGCTCCGCGTTGCTCGCTTCGCTCGGGTCCCACGCGCGGCTGGGCCATGAACAGGTGCGCCGAGGCGGCGGCGGTGGCGGCTACAGTGCCAGGGGCGGGCGTCGGGGACGCGGGGCTGCGGCCACCCATGGTACCGCGCCAGGCGTCCTTCTTCCCGCCGCCTGTGCCCAACCCCTTCGTGCAGCAGACGCGGATCGGTACGGCCAAGCGGGTGCAGGTGAGGAGCCGTGAGTCTGCCAGGGGCCGAGATGCGGGTCTGAGGATGGAGGGCACTTGGGGCAGCAGGTGATCTGAGGGGTGCGAGAAGAGAAGACGCAGGGAAGCCGGGTCTGCGAGGAGGACAGAGCCCACGGGAACTTTGACTTGAGTTTGTGGGAGTATGGCCGAGGTAGGAGAGTGGGTTTGGGGTGTTTCTTGGCCTCAGGGAGGGAGAGGAGCCAGCCTGGGATGGGAGGAGGCAGAGAGCCAGGTGTGCGTTTTGAACAGGTAAGGCTGGAATGATCTCCTGGGCAGGGGCATCCAGGCTGGGAAATCAGCATTCAAGAGAAGAGAGGACTGAGAGTCAGCTTAAGATGCGCAACAGATTTTGATCTTGATTAGCCTTCATGCAATTCGTTTCCTAGATTCAAGGATGACAGGTGGCCCAGATCGCTTTCCACTGTTAAAAAAAAAGGCTATGTTCTCACAAAGGAAGTTTTCTTTATCTTGTAAAGAGCTGGTTTTACCATGAACAGTCACACTTACTCTTCAGGCTTCCTCTTTGGTGAAGTTAGTGATAGGAGAACAAGATAGGGCATGCAAACTGCATTTGTCCTGTGGGTTCTGCAGGGGGAAAAATGATTCTGATGTCTTCCAGTCCTCAAAGTTTTCATTCTTTAGGGTTGAAGTATTGGTCATTGTTGCAGGCTTTTTAATGCAGTGCTGACTCTTGTTCTCTACAGTGAGGGCATATTAGGCTGAGCTAAGAAGCATGGGATGGTAGATAGCATGATGGTAGATGTCTGGTTGAAGAAGATCTGGCAGAGGAAGAGGAAGAGGTGAGGAAATACCTCATCTTCACAAAACTAAACGTTTAAAACGTTGATCTTTGTGTCTTTAAATGTATAGATGTTCTCTGTATCTTGCAACATCGGAAACACTTCTAAATACATTAACTGTCATTCAAGATTAAATTTAGTCAAATGAGTTATATTGAAATGAAAGTATGTCCATTGGTTATTTATGGCTTCATATTTTGGAGGGACAATCCAAGTGGAATATTTATAAATATTTGTATTGCACCTACAGTAAATGACTGTATTTTTAAAAAAATCACCTGACCTGTTATTGCTTAGAAAGTTCTTTCAAAGAACTCTATGAGAGCTGCATACAATGGAAAGAAATGATCTATCAACTAATGAGTCCACCCTTAAAAAACCTGGCCATTTATCAGTTGTGTGATTTTGGCTGAGACACTTAACCTTTGTGAACTACTTATCTATTAAATTTCCTCATCTATTAAGTTGAAATGATAACGCCTCTAATGAGGGTTAAAATTAAGCAAGATGATGTGTAAGAGTGTGAGAACCTTGTATCATGTGCTGATATTAATATTGATAGTTGTGCTACTTGTACGCAAATTGTTTACTGTTGTTAAAATTTGTTGCTTGGATTGAATGGGAAGCAGAGAGCTTGGAATCTGTGAGGAGAAGGCTTTTGAAGGGCCATGAGTCCGAAAGGGGCAGAGATGCAGATCTGAGAACTGAGGATATCTGGGGGATCAGATGATTTGAGGGGGTGTGAGAAGAGAAGATGCAGAGAAGGAGGAATGCTGACACTTTAATACATATTAACCAGAAATACCCAAGATATTTCATTGACTTGAATGGTCTGAGTGAAGGGGTAATTTGAATAGTCACTGCTGAAAAACAGTATCCTGTATCATCCAGTTTAAAATATAGATGTACTCTCACTTAAATATGACTTAGATATTAACTAATTCAGACTAAATTTAATCTTAAATGATGATCAATGCCTTGCTTAAGGATAGCTGTCACTTTTGCACCTCACTATAGGGCTGTTTAACTTTGCCAGTTTTTTGTTTTTGTTTTTGAGTATTTAAGTATCTACTACTCTGTGGCACAGGAAAAAAATGTAGCCTATTTTTTTTTGGAGCATTGTTTTGAAACTAGTGATTGTAATTGTGGGGTCATTTAGTCATATAAAAAATATTGTTGAAGCAGGGAGCAGTCACTCACACCTGTAATTCCAACTACTCAGGAGGCGGAGATCGGGAAGATTGCAGTTTGCCAGCCCAGGCAAATAGTTTGTGAGACCATATCTAGAAAATACCCAACACAAAGAAGGGCTGAAGTCATGGCTCAAGCAGTAGAGTGCCTGCCTAGCAAGAGTGAGGCCCTGCAAACCCCAGTACCTCCAAAAAAAAGCATACTAATGTAGTATATATTATAGCATACTAATATACTAGTCTCTGGAAATACATCAGTGAACAGAGAAATAGACCCCTTTCTATCTAAACTTAAATTTTACTGAGTAGTTAAAAAACAAGTACAAAAATATATAATTACATGTCTTAGTAAGCAATGTGAAGGAGAGCCAGGGACTAACCCTGAAAGAAGACTTCTTAACAGAGATGACATATTACCCAATGGAAATATGATGGAGAGTCCTTTTAATTTGTCAAAGAGCTACCTTAAAATTGATTTCATGGTAAGTACCATTATTTGGTGCAAACCTTGAAAATGGCGCAGAAAAAAATCAGTATTTGACAACTTGGTCAATTAAAATCCCCACTGGTTGCTGAGTGTGGATATAAGTGAAACTTATGTGAATTAACCTCATTCCAACTTTCCTCAGGGTCTGTACTATGGATCTTTCTGGCAGGCAAGATTATTTTGTGGTCTTCCTTGCAATGAGACCTTTTAGAAGAGTCTCAACCAATGATCTGCGAGTGACATGGGAACTTTAGTTATCTTGTCTTCTCCACAGTAGTGTTCCTCGATTCACCATCACACCACCACTACAGACAAAGAGTGCATTACCATCTACACAAAACTTCAAGAAAATCTCCTGATCCAAGATACCATCTATGTAATAGTTCTAAAGTTCCTGCCTGTCTTACCTTAGCATGTTTATTTGATAGGATGTAGAGTGGTAGCAACTTTTACTATATTTATAAGCCAGCTCTCAAATGATTGTAATAGGGTGATTTGGGTTTGGAAATGATTGATTACTTTAAATCAGACAAAGCTTCCCAGAGATAGCAATGGAAAACCCTGGTCAAAACATTAAAAACCTGTATAAAGGCACCATGGAGAAGAAGAAGAAGAAAAAAAGGACAGAAACTGGAGGGGGATTTGTTCCTTGTATTATCAATACAATAATGTATTGTGCTATGTCTCTCCACCCTTCTTTTTGGCTGAGAGTCCCCTCTTGACACCATGGTTGAAGATTGCTAGACAGTCTCTGCCTTATAGTGTGCTGTGTCAGAGTGCAGAGATCAGAGCCATCAGAGTGGCTGAAAATTGAGGGAGGCAATCCCAGAAAGTAGGAAGCTAAAGATAAGGGACCCCCAGATTGGCATACAACTTTCTCTCAAGTCCTGGCTGATCTCTGAGTTGTGTATTTACAAAAGAGCCTCCAAGGTCCTAAGGAAACCTGCAACTAGAAGGAGGAGAAGCTGAGGGGACGTTGTGCACCACAGGGAAAACACAGTTACAGTCACACCAGTAAGAACTGCCTGGTAAATACCTCAGGTGTACATTAAAACCCCTCAAAGGCAGTGCCTTAGGAGAAAAGCTATGTCTTAGGACTAGTGCTTCAGTCTAAGAGAAAGGCAGATTGCCAAAACTTTTCCCTAGCAAAATATAAAGCCAAGCCTCCAAAAAGTGGAGGTAATCAGCCACAAATTTACCTACCCGCTTAGGGAACAAAACAAAACAAAACACTCAATGCTCTTCAGAGAAACAGAATCCACATATCTGCAATCTGTCATTCACAATGGGCAATATGGAAACAATACCAGAAATTCAGAGAAAATGTAGACCTAATGACTTATAGAAGCAGGTCTATAAAAATAGACCCTAAATGACCCTATGTCGAACTTTCTAGATGGATGCTTTGAAGTAGCACTTGAAAACATGCTGAAGGACTGAAAGGGTCATAATAAGTAAATGGTTGTAGGAAGATCTTCAGAGAAATAGAGACTATGAAGGAGAATTGCATGGCATTCTAACACTGAAAGTGTATCTAGAATGAAAAATTCGCTTGTGGGCTTAATAACTCCCAACAGATGGTAGAGGAAAGGATTGGTGAACTTGAAGATAGATCTCCAGAAATTATTCAGTCTAAAAAACAGAATAGAAGACAGCTGAGATGAGCATCAACAAAAATAGTGGAGTAAGGGCTTCTGAAAATTATCTCCCAAAAGCAATGAAGACCATGGCAAAAATTATAAAAATAATAGAATCAATGTTGCTACAGCTGTGAAAATTAACCAAAGATTCAGTCAGGGAGTACCTGTTCAAGAAAAAGTGTCCACTCTTGGTAAGAATGGTAAGTTTTTTTTGACAAGTTGACTTAACTTTTTCTCCTTCTTCCTCTTCAGCTCTGAGGTGACCTTAAAAACCAACAGTTTGTGGTTATAGTGAAAACCAGCAACAAGGCAGCTACTAGAAGAGGAAGAATGGGGTTGGGATGCTTTCAAAGAGAAATGCCATTATTTGACCTCTCTAGTGGCTGCCTGGAGGATTGCACTTGAAAGGCTGTCTTTATTGGACCTGCACTGGAGCTCAAGCCGTACAGGCAGCCTTTTCTCAAGGGTGTTTTTAAAAACAGTCAGAAGCATCTGACTGTAGCTTAACATCTCAGCTCCTAAGACAGTAAGTAAGAGAAAAGCAGCAAGCCAACCCAAAATCTTAAAGAAAGAATCAGGGGAGGAGATATCCATAGGGACTTTGAAAAGCATTCACATATCCCTGGAGATCCAGAAGGCCACTGGCATGCATAGGGCTGTATGCATGCTCTGATAAGATTTAAGAATCTAGGGCTAAGACAGAATTGTGAACTCCACTGGCTGAATATTGAAGGTATGCTGCACATGTGCATAAAAACTCTTTGCAAGCACTGGGAAACTTATTGGTTCCAAGCATTTAAGGAAATCTCTTCATTAACTGACTACTAAGCTAACTGATCAGATGCCTTAGTAGCCACACATGA